TGATATTAAAGATCCTTTCCAACCTAAACCATCCTATGATTCTATGATGCAAATTAACATGGGTCCTCACATAAGTTACCATGAGCCTGGTGTACGTCTTCAAATATCTTAATAGTGCAAACATACACTTTGAAGTATTTTAAGACAACTGAAGTGTTGCCAAACATCAAGATTTCAGGCTAGTTATCCCCCAATTTTAGAGAATTTGCAAGAACTGAATCACCACTTTGTTTGCAGCCTGTATCTCTAACCTATAAGCCTTCTTTCCAACCCCCAAAAATACAGGTCTTACTTTTTGCATATCTAATTGCTGGCAGGCTCTCTGGCTTTTTCGGAGATCCCCTTCCATCTTACGTTCTTCTTGTTTGTTTTTGAATCTTATTCTGTTAAGAAAAAGTAGATAGCTAAAATAAGCAGGTAGACAAACACTGAGATGCATTACAGTCGATAACTTTTCTAAAATAAAAAGTCTATGATTCTAGCCCTACTCATTTTCTCAGGCCAGGACAATGCTGAAGTTAAGTCGTCCTTCTGACATTGTTTCTGTGGGAGCACGCATGCATTTCTGGGGAATTATACCTTCAAGACAGTGCTTTTTTGATCAGACTGCACTGAACACTGTTTCTTCCTTAGGTTCTCATAAAAAGCAGTTCACTAAACATCTGCAAAAGATACAGCCTTCCCTGAACTTTCCTTCTCCACATATAACAAGCAGATCAGGAGAAAATAAACCCAATAAAATCTAAAGAAATTGACCCTGATTTTTAAAAACCATTGTAGCAACATTGCTCAGGATTACCTGGGGATTTTATATTAAAAAAGATTACATGGTTCTCTGATTTAAAAAGTCGCAACTGACTTGAGAAAAATTTGTATGTATATTATTTGCATTGTTAACATTTACAAAAATAAATGATGCAGCACACACTTTTAGCATTACAGTGTTCATCTGCTTTTGCCTTAGAACTGAGAAACAATTACTCTGTATTTCAACTCTCACCTCTCATTCAAAAATAGTAATACTTTAAAAGAATAACCAAACATAAAGCATAAAAAGAACCATTATTTAGACATTGCTTGGAATATCAGTTACATCATTTTACCTGAACTGATCTGCAGCTTGTTCATTTGCTTGTTTTTTCATATGGAGTTTTCGTTTATAGTTTTCCAGTTTTTCTTCAGCTTTTCGCTTTTTTAATTCCTCATGACCAAGCCCACTTCTGCCTATGTAAGTTCAAAAGATGAATGTAAGCAGTTGAGAAGCTCTCATACCCAACTAAGTAAACGAGGAAGTATCACAAACCTGTCTTTATGTTCAGAGGAATAGGTTCAACAATGCCTTCTCCTGTGGGGGAAAAAATAGGTCAATTTAAGAAATCAGGTCTTTCTCAAACTATGATTTGTGCAGTATATTCAAGCAGAGAAGCTGGTTTTGTCATTAAATATGTACATTTTCTTGTTATTTTGTTGCTTGGAAGTAGAAAAATCCCAAATGAATGCACATTTAGTGCATTACAAATGACCCAGCTGAACTGGAACTCCCTCTTCTTTTTTGGCTTGTCTACTAGATTGCTATATATTTTTTCAGGACACTACCCAATTGAAAGAAAATGGTGTTGACTTGACAGGTGTAACATACCTGTGTTGAAGACTGCTTTGTTACAGCCTTCTGTAGCATTTTTCATTCTAGAATCTCACAACTTGACAAAGATGAAGAATAAAAAGCATCTGTCTGGGCCAGTTCATTTGCTGATTGTCTGCTAGAGACACGCTGAACTGGCACAGCATTTATTGATGTTTTGCTTTACTGATTTTACTTCATCTATTAAGGCTTCATAAGGGTAGGCCAGTGTGCACCATTTCTTCTTCAGAATTCAACTATAAATTCAAAGAGAGGGGTTGACTTTTTTTGGAACACTATTAGCTTTGCAAGACCATCCAAACATCCTTAATGCAATTCCTGTAGGCATGCACGTACAGAAGTGCATTCACTGAGCAGCAAGTACTGCTGCTTCCCTCGCATCTCTCGATAGTCTGTACCGTTTCTATTTCAGTTTCTAGAGATTTGCTCTCATCTTTTGTTCTGCCACAACACATTCACGGTTCAGTAATGCTAGGGCTCTCAGAGAGGCATTTATTGACCCTGTCTACAAGTGAAGCGGCACCTACAGACTGTAAGATATAAAGGTACACTTGAATATCGGCACACGTTTATATAAAGGTACGCTGGAATACAGGCACACACTTCCAGACAGCGACAAGCTTACCGCTTTTGCCAAGGGCCTGGCCGCTCTTGTAGCCCATTTTCTGGAGCAAAGCAAAGCCTTTGTTCTCATTGCCCAACGCACTTTTCAATACCAAGTCACGTCTCTCTTTTTCTTCTTCTTTTATACTCTTCTGTCTGTTCTTCTCGTTGGCTTCTTTTTGCTTTTCTTCTTTCTGAATAGCTTCCTTCATCCGCCTCACCATGGGCAAACCCGGCCTCACATCCTGTCTAAGGGTGAACAATTCCGCAAATATTAGCCTTTTTTTTTTTTTTTTTTCACGTTTGCAATCACTTAAGAGGGGAAAAAAAAGCCACCTACTTACTTAATAAACAAATCAGACATGTAGTCTTCCTCTTCGTCTTCCTCCATGTTTAGCACTTAGGCCCTGTTCGGACCCCCCTGCTATCAGCACCGTCAACGCGCTTTATCACCCGTTTTATTTCTCTGCGCGCTACCTGAAATGCAAAAGCCGCTTTCAAACGGAGAAACGCTTCCCGCTCGGTACGCGGCCGGAGACTGAGGGGGCTGATGGACGACAACACGCGAACCCGGCGGGCTGAGGGGGCACCCCGGGCCGGGCTCCCTCTCCC